ATATGTGTATAAGAGACAGTATATATATATATATATATATATATATATACATGAAGAGGACGTGTCTACATGTGTTTCGAAACATATGTAGAATATAATATAACGTAACAGTAATGAAACTCAAATACATAAAATGTTGACTTTAGAATACATCATCGTCATCATTATCATAGGAGTGATGTTTGCCCTACCTGACGTGTAATCGTACTGAACACTCAGTACGCCCCCAAATGCTAGCGAAAAAAATTTGCTAGTGATTCGGGTGGGAATCGAACCCACAACCTCCACATATCTAGCCTAATGTCTTAACCACTAGACCAATGAGCTTGTGATGAATCCGATTCCCTAATAGCAGCATGTACTGCAAGTGTTATTGGGCTAGATACCTGGAGGTCGTGGGTTCGATTCCTACCCGAATTACTTGCAAATTTTTTTCGCTAGTATTTAGGGACGTACTGAGTATTCAGTACGATTACACGTCAGGTAGGGCAAACATCACTCCTGTGATAATTTCCTGACGCAAACTCATTTCCTAATAACACTAGGAGGAGGAGGAGGATGACAAGAATGAGGATGAGGGGCAGAGGGATGTTTCTCATCCTTCATCATCATTAACCTCATCAACATCATTCTCATCAATCATCCTCATCATCATTATCACAATCATCCTCATCAACAGCCACTATCATCAATCATAATCATTATCATCAAACTCATCATCCTCCTCCTTATTATCATCATTATCCTTACCATCATTATCAGCATCATCATCTTATTCCTCATCAAAATCCATCATCAATCATCATCTTCCTTCTCCTCATCAACCGCATCATCCTCATCCTCATTTTTATCTTCATCATCATAATCATCATTACCACCATCCTCATTATTATCATCCTCATCATCATCCAGATTACTGTCATCATCACTATCATCTTCTTCATCATCAGTCACCTTCATCATCATAACGATGATGATGTCACTATCATCACACATGAGGATGATGATGATGATGAGGAGGAGGAGGAGGAGGATGAGAATGAAGATAAGGACGAGGTTGAGGGATGACAACGAGGAAGGGGAAAATGATGATGATGATGATTAATATTGACATCAGTATAATAAGAATAACAGTACTAACACTAATATTAATTTGAATTATAAACTATACATTTCTTAAAACACATAAGAATAATGATATCCTATATTATTTATTTTAGCCTATATAGTAACAAAATAATAGTATAATAATAATGATGAAGAAAAATGTAGTGTAGAAAGATTAAATTTAAATAGGTAAACATTTTCTTAAATTTTGATTGTCGTAGTTTTGGAATTCGGTGTGTTGACATTATCATTTCAAATTTGCTTGGGAGGTGGGGAATTCCCGTCAGACAGGCCTAGACTGCCATTGTCTGATGCGACGACGAAGTCGCCACACCACAAATATTGATTCGCATCAATATAACATTATTTTGATTGCCAATCCCTAATATTTTGGCTTAACAGCAAAATTTTGGGTCATACATATTAAGCTAAAAAAGCTCTCCCATGAGCCCAGAAAATCGATGTTTATTCCGGGACTAACTAAGGTCCTGTCAGTTTTCACATTATATTATATATTAAAAAAAAAATAAAAGTGACTAAAAACGTAAATATGTTTCCCATACCCTGATCCAAAAATTAAGTTTAAAGCAAAATTTCACTATTTCGTATTTTTCATTTGGTTGACTTTGCAGTAGTTCATTGATTATACTGTATATATATACATATATGTTGTATTTTATTCCTGTATGTATAATATTGTTTTGAGATTGTATTTATACTTTAATAACAATAAAATTATTTTTACATTAAAAACATAGTGTTTCCCACCATAATGGATGCCATCATCTTTCCGATCGATTTTTTTAATGATAGAGTGATGAGTAAATATTTAGCCAAATTGTTGTTATATTTCATATCCACAGTATATGTAAAACTGACTAAAAACATAAATTTATTTCCCTACTCCCATCTTAAATAGTTTAAAATAAGGTATTTTAGGCCAAAATTTCAAAGTGCTGTAAACTTTTTTCAGCAGTTTTACAACCAGGCTCACATATGTGTATTGTTACTGAGGACATAATTTTTTGACAGAATAAAAGAGGTAAAATAATTGTAAATAAAAATAGGCTAGGCCTCAGTCTAATTAATTAAAAATAATACAACAGTACAAACAAGTTCCTGTAGTCGTCAGCGAGTGGAAGGCGAGACTCAATTGTAAGTTTTTCTTATTGAAAAAACAGCTCCATGCTTTAAATTAACGGTCTAAACTTGTGCTTTTCATTCACAAATGACCCAGCAATACATTGTTTATTCTAAAGCTACAGTTATTCTAAAGCTACGGCAGTCTTTCTGCAAATATGAATAAACAACACATTTTTGCTTTGTAGGTTCGCTTCGTAGATTGTTTAGCCTTTCGCTTATATTGTACGATAGTACGATACACATTAAGTTGATTTGCGTAAATCTTATTGATAATAAACTTTGACAAAATAAAAAAATGGTGGAACAATAAATAATTTAAAACTAAAGTAATAAACATGCATTTTAAATGATGTTCTAAGGTCGGTATACAGTACAGTGTGTTGTACAGTACCTGTCTGTATCGACTCAAGGCCAGGAAGTCGAGGTGGGTAAACATGACGTTCTAGGTCTCTGTGGTTGAGACCTAGAACGTCGGTTGAGACCTGTGTCATTTTGACTAAACTATAATTTATAATGGTGATGTGATGATGATGAATTTTACTATATAAATAAGTGTGTTATTTCCGGCTATCTATCCCCCCCTTCAAAACTGCACCCTTGCACACACCCCCTACCACCCAATCCTGCATCCGCCCCAGAAGCATGCACATTTGCCGCATGAGCTATCTTTTAATAATAAGAAACATTATGGATGCCTTTTTAGATCTAAGTGCTAGTGTCCTAAGTAATTCTTGGCCCTTATGCTGTAATAAGAATAACATGAATATAAATTTAATTGAAATAATCCAGACGATTATTATTTTCCTATCGAGCACTGTTATTACTATTTATCTATTTGTTTCTGTAGATATATATTCATATATATATATAATATATAATATTATATTACAAAGTTTGTGTGCTAGTGTTAGAGTTAATTCTCTGCCCTTGGTGCTGAAATACGAGTGAATATTTATTTAATTGAAAGAAACCCTATTGTATTAATACATTACCTTTTTCATTAAGCATATCAAGAGCTGATTTGTATTCAGCTTCATCAATTTCTGTCATCCAGGCATCCAAAAACACTTTCTGTAACTCGTCTGGTATCAATATATTCGCCAAATCTTGAATAAGCTGCCCACTCATATGAATTTTCCATAAATTTGTCAATGCTTTTCGATTACACACAGAAAGGTAAAATATTATTGATCCATCTTTTGCATATTGCATTTCTATTTCCATTTTTGAAATGAAATCTGATAATTTTTCCAACATCTCATCATCCATATCCTCGGATAGTTTTAAAAGACGTTGAACAACAACAGTACGTGCATCATCATATGTTTGGTCTCCTGATTGTTTCTTACAGACTTTCAATTTTAATTCTATGGAAAAAATGAATTCATAATTCTAAATTGCAAAAAAAAAAAAAAAAAATGTTTTACCACAGCCTTGTTTGCACGAATGAAAAGTTCTATTCATTAAATAAAAGGCAGAGGGTGTTTGTGCACATGCTCCTCTTTTTTGAATGTTACTTAAATCAATTTGTATTTGCCAGACCGTCTGAATTGCATAAATGACGTATGATGCAAGGGATATAAAAAAACAGATATACCTACTTGCTCCATCTAATGCATGCAGTAACTTCTCATAGACATTATCTTCCCAACCATTTGCTGGAGTTAACACATTAAGACATTTTGGTATCTTAGCATCTTTTGATATCCTCACAGGGATCAGTTTCCCCTCCTCAATATTATTGTTTTCCAGAATTTCTTGAACAACAGTTTGTGCCAGAAAATTGGGATTGCCAGTTGATGATGATGTGGTAAATCCTACAACCACGATCTTGCAGGTACTAACTGGTTCAATTAAATTCTCAAGTTTGTATTTTCCAGGAATCCAATCATTTCTGCTAATACACTGTATTCCTGGTCTCTTCTTCTGCAACTCAAGTATTGTTGTATTCTCCCACTCAGCATTATCACTTATGACATAAATATAAATACTAACGACCCTGTACACATCATGGTTTTCTTCATTTTGTTTTTATAATTCATTTATTGATTGTATCACATAGTTTCAATTTGCTTCCATTGCATTGCTTTTCCAGTGCTTCAACATCAGAAGGCATTTTGTTTTTAATATTATCTGTAAAACAAAGAGTGGTACCGTATCGACAGACTGATGATGCTGCCATATTTGATAACAGAGAGTTTCTTTCACTTGTTGTTTGTTTGTTCGTTCACTGTGTGCGTGTTGCTGCATCAAAGTAGAATCCTGTTAGGGGAATGTGAAATAGGTACACAAAAGTTAATGATATGGAATCCTGGAAAAAAATTAATGATTGAGCAAAACAGATCATTATATCATCCTCATTTGCCATAATACTGTGAATATTATAAACCTCAATTTAATGCTTCAGGATTCAACATACAACATTGGTATTATTAGTGATCCGCTTCTCGAGCGGATCACCTCTTGTTATTGTCAGGATCATCATCTTTTTGGTGATCCGCATCTAGTGCGGATCACCTCTTGTTATTGCCAGGATCATCATCATCTTCATCTTCTTTTTTTTATTCTTCTTTCTTTCTCCCCTTTTCTGTTCGCACGATATCTAAAAAAATGCCACGAGTTACACACAATCGCTGTCAAAAATCAGGCCTATTTTTAATCAGTTATACCTCCTTAGGATGAAAGGTGACCCCCAATTTTTATTAGTTGTAAATTAGTTGTAAATATGATTTTATAGATCATAATGGCTGATCAGACATTGTGACGTCATCATATTGGCATCTGAATTCAAAAAAAGTGAATTATAACTATTACGTCATTTTTAAAAATACACATTTGAGCGTATCTCGCTTATCCTTGATCGATCGTCTTCCAACTTTGAGTATGTTATAGCTGAGACAATTCTCTTTCATATATTTGACTTCTTTTAACATTTTGATGACGTCATTATGGTAAAAAAAAATTGTTTTTTCTGACCCCCCCCCCCCCAATCTTTCTTTCCTCAAAACGTTGATGAGCCCATATCATCTTAACCATTCGTCATTTCTGAATCATATTAAGTGAGCATAATCTTTAGGTCAAGGTTGAATGTCAGGTACCTTAATTTTCCGTTCGCGCGACTTAACGTGCGCGTACGCATGCGTCAACATTTATATATGCATAAAACCATGAATATATTTAATCAGTTATAGCTCCTTATGATGAAAGGTGACCCCCAATTTTTATTACATATTCTGAAAGCACATGAGTTGTAGATACGATTTTATAGATCATATTGGCTGATCGGACATTGTGACGTCATCATATTGCCATTTGAATTAGAAAAAACTGAATTTTTATTTATGACGTTATTACTTTTTATACTCGTTTGAACGTATCTCGCTTATCTTGATTGATTGTCTCCCACTTGTGAGTATGTTATAGCTAAATCAATTCTCTTTCGGACGTGTCCCTTTATTTTTCATTTTGATCACGTCAGCATGGTCAAAAATAATGAATTTTTAGAGCATTCTTATCTCTCATTCTTAAAAGATGTCAAAAATAGAACACAAGAGGGCGGCAGACGCTATCAGACTTATATATACAGTATTGGTTATACGCAGGGGAAATTCCTGTGGCATTAATAACAGACGGTTTTAAAAACACGACAATATTTAATTTTGTGTGCCATTACTGTACACGCACACATCGTGACGTGTGCTTATGTTAAAATTTTAAAATTCTCAATATCACTATTCAGATAGTTTAAACGTTTCAGGTCATTTTCTGCATTCCAAATCTTTCCATAATTTACGCGCCGTACACTCAATTCCACGCCCACAGCACTTACTGAAGCTGGAAATTACGTTTCGGTTACATGTTTTGGGTTTGTGACACTGTATTAATAACATTACCGTGCGCACGGATGTAAAGAAGTCTTTAAAATGCTCAAAATTACTCTTTTCCTTTAAAATTTCTTTTAAAATGCTCAAAATTACTCTTTGAATAGAGCATGTTTTAGCATATAATACTTTTCAATCCGAACCGCGCGTGCTTCGTGAGGGTCAAAGTACGGGAGATCACCAAACTCGTCCTCGGTGACGAGTTCAAATCTAGTAATTAAAATGTTTTTTTTACAAAGGACAATAATTAATGTATATAGAGAATGTTTTGCATTATAAAGTATAATGAAAATAAAAACTGATGTAGAAAATAAAATTCTGTGGAAAAACCAGTGGGAAACTACATCAGGCAGGAAAAATACTGAGAATGATAGCTGGGAAAATAATCAGGGGAAATAACCTGGAGGGAAAATCCCAGAGTGTTTCAGTTTCAGTTTATTTGGCTCTCACTTATACTATGGAAAAACAATCCTTGGGGAATTAGCAAGTGACAAATATTAAACCACAGTGCTATTTTCTGTAAAGCAAGTCCTCTTACCACATCAATTTTGAGTGTACTCAATCAACTTCCCTGTGAATTTAAAAACAAAAGTTTTAACTACAAGATTTTAATATACCCCTGTGGCCATGCAAATAAACATATTTTTATGAGTTAGAGGCCAATGATTATGTTGTATTAGTGATGATTTAGTGGCATGCAGAGGTGAGCTAGATAATAAGTCACACTTGCGCAAGGATTATTTTCCTTACACAAAAATTGTGACCTAGAAATTATATTCCATAGAAAATGTTCACCAAATTAGCCCTCAAACTTTTCTATCTCAGTGGCAGCTTTGGAAAAAATGCATTTGGCATAATTGATTAAGAACGTTATTTATATAGTTCTTAATCACATCTGACGGGGCCAACTCGAGCGGATCGTTCAATTCAATTCAAAAGTTCGACCGAGTCATTTTGCTAGGCCAGGCTGACTCAAGTGGTTCGATCACGGACTGACTCGAGCAGACCAACCATGTGTCAAATTCTGGCCGGGGAACTGGAAGCAGCGCTAAGGCATGTAAACCCGACTGATGGCTTGCCACTTGAAGAGGCCTTTTGTGTCTGATGCAGATTTCAGAATGTTTTTAATATTTTCTGGCTGTATATCTCACAATCTGCTGTCACAATTTAAAAAAAATTATTGTGAAAAAAAATAAAATATGCAAAAAAGTATTTTATAGATGCACAAATAATATAAATAACTAATAATTTGAGGAAAAAAACAGAAGCAAAAACAAACACCAGAGGGAGAATTAACTAATTTTTGATTAAATTTAGACTTAATACATGCAGCTTTACCGCTCAGCTACATTTCACCTAATATGTCTAGCTGGTAATATTACACCTCTATTATTCAACAACAACCAGCGAGTGCAACGACTATATACAAAGATATGGCGCAACAAGGCGATTATCTTGTTATCAAATTGTTGTTAAGTGCCCAGATGATTATTATTTACAGTGTAGTATTAATTTCAAACAAAAATAATTAGTGTAGTAGGCCGAATGTAGGAAAAATTGGCCCCGGTAAGAAGGCCCCAGTAAAAATGGCCCAAGTAAAAATGGCCCCAAATGACAGGTAGGTAAAAATTGCCCCCAATGATAAAATTCTTTATCAAAACTGATTTTTAAAAATCATTATATTTTTGTAACTGAAATAATTTAGTTTTTAAAAAGAACCTAACCACAAATAAGTTGCAAATTTATATTTTACTTTTTGCAGGAATTAGATAACCATAGATAAAAAAAATGTCATAAATAACATTTTTAAATTTTTATTCAATTTTCCATTTAAATATTGAAAAATAGCGACAACAATTTAATCAATAAATCAAGATAAATCATGCATTTGTTAATAATTTAGTTGTGGCCAATTTCACGGAAGCGGAATCAGAATTCCCAGAAATTTTTAACTTTTACTGTACCTGAGTATTGCTAAACCCCGCAAAATAAGTTGTTATGAACATAATTTTTTTTTTTTCTTTTTTCTACAGTGTGTTTTTTGGGACGTTTGTGGGGTTTAGCAATACCCTTTAACCCTACAATAATACCTTACCCTCATAGTTACATGCCATTTTAATTCTTAGAGTAATTGCCATATTTACATAACTATAGAAAATTTGAGTACGGTATGTCTCAGTTTTCATTATTTAGTATAGTTTGGAGAAAAATAAATTGATTTTTTTTTTTTTTTTTTTTTTTTTTTTTGAGTGACAGTTTACGAGTATGTATGATTATGATGAATTTAAAAAGAAAGAGAGATTCAGAAGAAAATAAACATAAAACAACTTTCACATAATTAAGACCTGATTTCTTCTTAAAATGAGTTACTCTATTTATCTTAGGCATGTGGCCCAAACAATACCTTTATACATAAATTATAACCAAATATTTAACAGAATACAGTATAATCGTGATGACGACTGTTTATTTATTACTTATTTTTTCATCTATGGACTATTTTATTCATTTATTGTTAATTATTCCTGCAAAAAGTATTATAAATTTTTATTTTAGTTTTCAAATATGCATATGGTTTATTTTGATTTATTAATTCAATTTTTGCTATTTTATTATTTAAATTCTGTAATTTGGAAATCTTAAAAATATCATTATCATTACTGAATTTTATCATAATAATTTAATGTTAAATACATTTTTGCTATTTTACAGTATTTGAATAGTTTTTAAATGAATTTTAAAATTGGGGGACATTTTTTGGTGATCCGCTCTCGAGCGAATCACCTCTTGTTATTGTACTGTCTCATCTTTTTTTCTTATTCTTCTTTCTTTCTCCATATTTTTGTTATGATTTTATATATCATAATAGCTGATCGGACATTGTGACATCACCATATTGCCATCTGAATTTTTAAAAATTAATTTTTATATATGATAAATACTATGAATGATCATTACTCCTTCACCAGCAGGCGTTTGTCAATGAAAGTTTATACATATATATCTCATATCAGGAGACAACAGTGACATTAAGATGCGCATGTGCGTCATGACGTGCGGGTACGCATGAGTAAATCTTTTAAAATGCTCCAAAT